CGGCGCTTCGCGCCGCGTACCGGCGCTACGCGCCGGCATTTGGGGGGCTTCGCCCCCCCATCCGCTTAGCGGATTGGTGCGGGGACCGCACGGGACTTTCTCGCTCGAGCCGGCGCTTCGCGCCGGCATAGACACTTTTACTGGAATATTTAGAAAAATACTGCCAATTTTACAAAATCATAAAGTTTGATTGGAATTTTGATCACAGGATAATAGTCATGAAATTTTTATTCAAACCACTGAACTTTATTGTAAATGTCTTCGCGATATGTGATGAATTCATATATTCGGACTCGACTTGTTGATTTTATGAGGCATCTTCAATTAAATATGTAATTGATTAACAAAGTCTCCTGTCAAAGATGGCGATCCGTAAAAATCTTAGCTTTTCTACGATTCATTAGGATCCATTAGATTTATTGACATCATACTTCAGATACGATTTTATATTATAATCTCTCCTTAAGCACGGTCAAAAGCCATCAAATATCTACTTGAATGGGTAGAATGACTATTCGATGTTCAAATAGTCTTAAAACTAAACGGTTTTCGCTTAGCATCTCCCAAATTTTAAATTTGGCGGGCGAATCTACCTGCTGGAAGGTTCACCACACGCCCGCCAGGAGCGCCATCTCCTTACCGCGTATCCCTGTAATTCAAAGCGAAAACAATAGAGAGCGTTGAGAGCGCCATCTCCTTCAACCAAACCTCGGGTTCTTTTTATAACCTCCTTTATTAAGTAACAAGCATTAAATCAGTCATATTTCATATTTGTGCCGTATTATTATATTATATTTGTGCTTAGTACCTCGTAAAAAGGAACCGCGAAAGATGGAATCTGCCGGGATTCTAAATTCATTAACAACAAACATATTAGTATTTAATAAAGATGTAAGTGTCAGTTCTTGCGTCAGCTTGATGACTAATAGTAACTATATATTGTAAGTACAGCCTACCTAATTAGTTGTCTAATTTTGCTTGGTGTATACCTACGGAGTAAGTTTGGAAATAGTATATGATGCATTATATAATGCATTTGAATTCCTAGGTTTCACCTGACTCAAAGCGTTTGCTGCTATTATCTAGAAGCGTTCCGACTCATTTATCAGAGAATTGAGCGTTTCCTATCGGCCCCTCTGCAATTATGAGATTAGTCCAAGAATCCTTTAGGAACTTAAATTAATGACTCAGATGGTGCTTTCGAGCCAACTTTCAAAGAATTAAAGGCATTTTTTCAAAATCTACAGTCCATGAGCTCTCCGTGTGACCGAAGTGCTCTCCTCGCTATATGACGCGTAACCCTTCAATTTTTAGTTTAGTCCAAAGACCTCATAGGAACTTACATTATTGAACCAGGTGGTGCTCTTATGCCAACTTTCGAAGAAATGAAAGGCATTTTTTTTCAAATTTACGGTCTTTGAAAATGAGTTGTTTGTGTGATGTCGCGGAGCAAAGTGCCCTACTTTTGGGCCTCGTAATCCCTTGAATTTTGAGTTTAGTCCAAAGATTTTTTAGGAACTTAAATTAATGACCCAGGTGATGTGCTTGATGCCCACTTTTAAAGAATTAAAGGCATTTTTCAAAATTTACGGTCCCTCAAAATGAGCTTTCCGTGTGATTTTGCTGAAAATGGACCTTTAACCCAATTTGACCCTAGCCCCCCCAAATTTTAGCGTACCCCAAAATCGTTGGACGTGCATAAGGAGACCATAAATATGGTGTTCTGTGAGAATTTTGAATGAAATCGAACAGATAGATTCTGAGATATCGCTGTTGACAGATTTGGGGGACGTCGGACGGACGGACACACATTTTTTCAAGTATGGTTATTTTGACTCCTGGGACCTTAAAACGTCTAGAAATGATGAAATTTCAACTTTTTTTTTTTTTTTTCCTTGGAGGATGACAATACTTCCTCTCTACCCTAGGGGAGCGAGAAAGTAAAAATGTTTATTGCGGCTTCACTTCGCAAAAAAATGTTTACGCGGGTTGCTTTGCGAAAAGAAAAAAAATGTTTATTGCGGCTTCACTTCGCAAAAAAATGTTTACGCGGGTTGCTTCGCGAAAAGAACTGGAAAATCGCGTGGAACTCACTTCACGAAAATTTGACCTCGCCATGCGTGCAGTCGCAAAGCGTTTCGTACTGCCTCGATGTTCCCTCTCATTTTTTTGCACTTGTTTCCTAAGTAAAATATGAAAATTATCACCATCATTCCGAAAATTAACACGTAATGCACCACGTCATGCATATCAAGATCATTAGTTATCGTTATTTCGTTTTCGTTGTCGAACCAGCTCATTTTCGCACACTTTTCGATCGCACTTTCAGAACACGAATGTTTAAATTTTTCGCACACTTTTCGGTCGCACTTTCAGAACACGAATGTTTAAGTTTTCGGCTGTCGTCTGGGCTCCCATAACCTGTCGAGGTTGTTTGGAAAATACCGAGTGAAAAGTGGATCACGGATCAAGATTATGAAATTTATTGTTGAATGACATTCTCATTGGAGATGGCTTGGTATGCTTTACTCGACTGACTAACTGCGCACTGCAAGTCCGACGGATGCGTTCCAAAATGCTGCGCTTGCAATGTAGCACGATGTTGCGCGATCGGCATGAATGAATCGCAAATTGCATTATTAGTTCCGTCATGCATCTACTTCTTAAGGTCAGCCAGCCGGTCAAATCATATTAAGCCGTATCTGAAAAACCGACGGATATCGACATCCGCCGTTTTTAGGGAGAACAGTTTCTTTGAGTATACGGACCCTCAAAAGCACGTGTAAAAAATTGTAAAACTCAGAACTCCATTCTGGCGTGAAAAATCAGGCAAAAGCTATGTTATACAGGGTTATTCAAAAGTCACGCACCACTGGCCACAACTTTAGTTCTTATTATTATATCGATTTGCGGTTTAAGACGTTTTTCCTCATATCGAGGGGGACACTTTTTAGGGCATTTTCCGGTTTTTGATCCCCTCGGGGAGAGGGGGTGGGGGGCAACTCGAAAATTTCAAATGGCCACCCCCCTCGTGGCCAGTAGTGGTGCGTGACTTTTGAATAACCCTGTATGTGAAAAAGGTGGATGTCATGTAAACATTGTAAACACTCGTCGTTTTTTCACATTGAAACTGGTTTATAGCCTCGTCAATGGTTAGCTAGTTAATGGTTGAGCACTTAGTGGCCACCCTTTTTTAGAGAACAACGCTTTTATTTAAACTATTCTTTGGAAGACTGAAATTTGTAATTTAATTTCATTTTAGAAGACTAATATAATTTGTTCCCTATTTTTCTGGAAGTTACTGAATGTTTCATTTTTTTTTACCATTCATTAAGAAAATTAGTATGCGATACGTTTTTGTTAATTTCAATCGTTTAACTTTGCTGACATAGTGACATTGCTTTAAAACCTGATTTGAACCGTCATAAATATATTATCCGTAAAAACAGTGGACTTTTTTTTTTTAACCCGATATTGTTCACTGAGATTTGCTTGGAATTAAGGAGTCTAAAAAAAAAAAAAAAACAAATTAAAGGAGGATTTCTTCTACATAAAATCCTTAAGCCGAATCCTTTTGGTTTTAAATGGAGTTAAAATGCAGAGCCTTAAAAACTTTGTGAGCGTTTTTCTGAAAACTGAACTCGACACCCGCCTGCTCTTTTTACAGATACGGCTTCATGTATGGAAAGATGTGAATCTACTTAATGACTTTTAAGTACCTGCCCGTGTGCAACAAGGATCAGGCGGTCTGGCAGTCCAAAGCCGGGGGAAAGTCAAATCACGCACCAGTAAATTTCGAAATTTTTTGTCACTTTTTATGTAGAATGCATTTGAATGCCGGGGATAAGTGGCTGCCAGACTCAAAACAATTTTAGGCCTATGAAATACCAGCCGTTCTGTGCGCGCTTCGAGCACCCGTCTCGGCTAGCGGAGGTGCTGCGCTCCCTGGACCCCTGGCCACTCGCCACGCGAGTGACATTCGATTCGCTTCGCGAACCTTTTTTCTGAGTAATTGGACATTTGATACAACACATATACAACACACATACATTGGACATTTGTTACATCATGATGTAAACATTTTGGAGACTCTCAAGACAAAAATTATTTTGTCATAGAACCTTAATACTGGAGCGTGCCATCATTTGCACATTAATAAATTTGTGGAGATGAAGCAATCATGGGGATCGATCATTTCTTCAAAAACGCATTTAACTGGGACGTCAGTCCCATCGGGTGGAGGAAAGTGACAACCGTTGATCTGCTTCCACGATTTGACTAGCTGAAGTAACAAAAGTTCATCTTTACTTCCTAAAAAGAATATCGGAGGTGCTGGGGTCTAAAAACTGCTCAACGATAGTATAGTTCGAGTTCCAAATCGCTATCAGCCCACTTGTGTTTTTTTTTCTTACAGCTTCATTGTACCTAAATTTCACTCCTGATTTTGTTTCATTCTATCTGAATGAATAAGTAATTATATCCTCATTTAATTTCCTTCGCCTCTTTCACTTTTTCCTTTTTTGTAGTATCTGTGTCCATTTACAATTATTATTTTAAAATAGCTTTCCCTAGTATACAGTTGATTCCTCAAAAAATGAACGAAGGGTAGCAAAAGACACAAATTGCGGAACGAATTTTCTCAGTGGTTACTGTTGTTACGCAAATTTGCGGGGACTGACCGCCGCCTGCCGAAAAGCAATGTGCGCTGGGGAAGCCAGCCAGTCGTCCGGGTTCGGGAGAGCTGAACTCATAACGCGCCGTACTCTTTTGAGTTATGGTTTCTGAACTTGAACGAAAAGGCGTGCCTTTTCGTTCAAGTTCCAAGTGCCTTTTCGAGTTCGAGTATTTAAACGAGAAAGCGGGGTGTCGCGTTTTCGGTACAGATTTTAATAGTGAAGCATGCAGTGTCCGGTCCCGATCATTAACGCGACCGCGTAGAGGACGGATTCCGTTTGCAACCTGAATCTGTAACTGGAAGACAATTGTAAGGGTTACCGATCATGATTTCGAACGCATCCCGCCCGCTAATGGGTCAGCGGTACGGAACTGCTCACTGATGCCAAAGATTGTAACGAATACGGCTTGAGGGAATAGATCTCTGAACAAAACCTTTTGATACTAACGTGGTGATTACCTAACCCCCTGTTGCTTGTATTAATTTTTGATCTTGGATTTTGGAGGACACAAATCTGTGTTGTAGCTTTCGTAAAAACATTGAATCCCAAATTTTTTTTCTCACAATTTTTGTCATCATTTTTCAAAGAGGAGTAATTCAATTCTTAAGAAACCAAAAAATATGTTGATATAATACACCATGCCATAGAGAGCAGGTCATCTCATTATAACTCTAGTTTAGTTTGGCATCGAAAGTCCCAAAATGGCTTTAAAATATTTACTTAAGCATTGGCACCAATGTGTAATCACTGAGTGCCCCAGTAAAATTTTCTTTCTCTGTTCATGGTCACAAATCAGGTGCTTGGAGAACAAGGCGCACAAGTGCAATTTTTGAAAAAATTGAGATATACCTGAACTCGTCTACAACTAGTTTGGAAATACATTCAGTGAAAAATTTACATCTGAAATCCAACTTAAAAGCATTAAAAAGTAAGTTTAAACTTCCTTCCTGCCAAGAGGCGCCACTTAATTTTGAAATTGTAAATGTGTATTTCTTATAATAGCGAAGACTTCACTTGTGCGCCTTGTCCTCCAAACCCCTCGAATATACTTTTCTCACTAATGCTCTTTTTTGATCTGAAAACTTATTTTGAATCTCAGCTGACTTTTTTGGCTCAACTTTTATTTTTCATTTGGTTTTAAAATTCTCAATCTCTATTTCTTCTCTAGATTATATGCAGTCGGTGGCCGTGATGGGAGCTCATGTTTAAAAAGCGTGGAATGCTATAATCCTCATACAAATCGATGGACCTTGTGCGCTTCAATGGCCAAACGGCGAGGAGGTGTTGGTGTGGGAGTGATGAATGGCTTTCTTTACGCATTAGGAGGTCATGATGCACCTGCTTCCAATCCATCTTCGGCTCGATTTGATTGTGTTGAAAGGTAATATTATCCTTCCAATTCTTCCATTAAAAGATGTCTTCCTCCACCAAATCATAAACGATTTTCTCGCTTATGATCACAGTCAATCATTCGTGATATTTCAGGTTAGATACTTCTTAATCAGAAGAGTTGATAAAAGTGTATGCGTAGAAAAGCAGTATCAACTTCGTTGATTTCAAGTCCACAGAACTTGAAAGAGGTGTACGCAGCTCCCATCAGAATTGGTCTCAGAAAGCAATTTTTTCTTGCAAGAAGTCTACGGAAGAAGGATAGGGAAGTTAAAAGATGACTGATTTTTTAATCTAGCTCTATAGGGGGGGGGGGGGGGTTGCCACAAAAAAAAGTATGTTTTGACAAGTTTTGAATGGTTATGAATTTCATATTAAATATTGGTTAATTTTAACTGAGCTGTGGCTCATGGAATTTTTCGATTTTTAATTTTAGTTACTCAGTTTTTCAAAATGAAGGTCAAATATCCAGGGTGTCCCAGACCACCCGTACCAGGTCTTTTTCCCGGTTTTTTAGGTCGTACGAAATCGGAGACTGCGGAGTTAAATAGGGAATCTACCCCAAGGAATCCAAATTTCATGGTCCTGGAAACCCCCCCCCCCCCCCAGCTCCCCTTGGGAGGTAAAAGGGGGTTAAGATCCCAATAGCCGGGGTTCTCGATGGGATTGCGATTCGATTGCATTAAATTTGAAAGGTACAAAAATTTCACGTGAAATTGTCTCCTAAAAATCCAAAATCGGACCACTTTACGCCCCAAAATAATTCCTTAAAGAGGGCAACAGCAGCTCCCTCTATAATTTCCCATCAGTCAAAAATTGACGTAGACTCTCTGGGAAAAGATGGTCTCCTAAGTAATCAACCTCAAGAAATCCGATTTTTATGGTCCTGAAGCCCCCCTAGCCACCTTTTGGGGGTAAACAGGGAAGGCACAATTTCGAAAGGCGGGGGATATTGTGCCTCCCCCGTTTACCCCCTAAAGGCGGCTAGGGGAGCTTCGGGAGATTCCCTATGCAACTGCATGGTCTCCGACTTCGTACGAACCAATCCAACCGAGAAAAAGACCAGGTACGGGTCATCTGGGATCACCTGTATTAAAGCATAATAAATAATAATGAAATAAACTAAATATGTGCAGAAGTGGTCGTTTGTGTTATTCTCTTTAAAATGAAGCTAAATGCATAATGGGCAAACAATAAGTTGCAGAGTGCTGATTCATCTAAGTTAAAGCGATAGGGTGAAAGAGCACTGCAATTTTTTAGTAACCTTCAAAACCCTGCAGCAAAGGGAGTTGCAGAGAAAATCCACTATCTGAGGGAACACTTTGTCTTTGGACGGAATACAAGTAAAAACAATACAACCATTAAAACTCGATCAACCAGAAATGGGCGGGAACCCTTCTTTTCTCTTTTAAACATTAGACCGGAAGTCTGGGAACGCATTTGACCACTCTAAAAGAGCTAAACTGGGCCAGACTACTGCTCAATGACCAAAGACTAACCCTGTGGAAAAGCACACATGCCTCTTCATGCAGTGCAAGAAAGCTTCGTCCTCCAAATCAGCTCGCGATCGTGAGTGGTCGCGGCCATCTCCCCTGGAACTCCTGCACGCCACCCCAAACTAACAGGTCTGAAATATCATCACCATCTTCACAAGCTTGTACTACCTCGTATGCAGGAACTCATAATAACTCACAAATTCCTTTAGTGAAGCTCGTTTTCTCATAGCAAAATGGTAAAACCCACGGTTTTAACTGCAACACTACATACACCAACAGAATTAACAAAACTAAATAAAAATGTCTAAAAGCGCACTCTATTTATCTGTAGCATTAGGGTGTTCCTTATGTTGGACTTTTGAGAAATTCTCAGGTCGGAACCCTGCAATCGGTTCCTTTTTATGTAAAAATATCGGAGTGGGGGGGAATTAAACAAATTTTTTACGTATGTCGCAATGGCGCCAAAGTTGAGGCCGGCGAAAATACGATTTTCAGCAAATCGGGCTTTTACGGTATTTCACCCTGAACTTTGGGTACGCATTTTTGCATGTAGACGAATAAAAATTTGCACTAGTACACATTTATTAGTGTTCTTTCACGTAAAATCATAAGATTTGGGCTAAAAACTGTGCAGATGCATGTTTCAAACCCTCAAAGTTACGGCAGAACACGATTTTTTGGGCCCTTATCAGGAGTTACGTTTATAAGCAGTGTCTACTGAAACATGATGAAATCATGTTTCAGTTTTTTTTGCATCAAAGAAGCAAGTAACTCTTCCAAAATTAGAATCATGCATTGCTTCCTGAACTAGTGTATTTTATTTTAAGTATATTAGTTGTAAATATAAATTATGTGTTGATGTGGTCTGACAGCAAAATTGCGCCAAATCTGATTAAACACAAATACACAAGTGAGTAAAGAGGGGGGATTCACACTCGGTAGAGTTGAACTGATATGAAAACCGACAACTGGGGTTACATTCCCTGAGCTGAGAACCCTGCTGATCTCCTTACTAGAAGTGTCTATGCTAAAAGACAAAAGAGAAACAAACTAGAAGAATACCTCTTATGGTGGTTTGGTCCTCTATGCATTGGAAGTACTGAAACTGTTTCGAATGGTTCACCTAGGATATTTGTAGAGCCACAAAATGTTGATATTGTTTGAGTGCGGTTAATTTTGAGCAAATGTTTTTATTTTTGAGGTATTCAAGTTTTAATAAGTTACTGCTTGTAACATTGTACTGTCTTAGATTTATTGAAAATTTAAGGCAGAACTTAGAAAGGAGTAATAAAAGAACTGGGTCTTTAACTTGTGAGGAGCTAAATAATGCTAAAGTAAGATTGTGCAAAATTGCACCAAAAGAGAGATTTTATTATGAGTATACCTTATTGAGAAAAAATGGAGAGTTGCCAAAAAGTAATTCAATAGTAAGTTTAAGTCCTTTCGTCAAAAATGGTTTAATTCGTGCCGGAGGAAGGATACAAAATTCATCTATTCCCCACTATGCATCACATGATATTTTACTTCCTCAGGATCATCTTTTATATTCTTTAATTGTTGCATCAGAGCGTATCAAAGAGTTACATTGCGGCCCACAGTTATTACTTTCCTTAGTCAGAGCGTCATTAGGCCTACTAATGGTTTAAAGTTTGCAAAGAAAACAGTTAATTCATGTGTGCCATGTCGAAGAGTAAGACCATCCAACACTACGCAGCTAATGGGACACTTACCACAAGAAAGAGATACACCTTCGAGATCATTTCCAGTCATAGGCTTGGACTATTGTGGACCATTTAAATTGCGCTTGCAGCCTAACAAAAAAGGAGTCAATTTTTGGAATATTGTTCTATTTATATGCTTCGCTACAAAAGCTGTTCATCTAGAGACAACATTAATTTAATCTAACAACTGACTCATTCCTATTAGCACTTCAAAGATTTGTATCTAGAATTTGTATTGATTTCGGAATTTGTATCTAGAGGTGGAGATCAGTCAAAAACGTTTATCGGTGCTAGAAATAATTTTCAGCAACCCTTGTTGTTTGAAAATAACCTTCCACCCAAAATTTCATATTACTTGCAAGAAAAACAGATTGAATGGAAGTTTATCCCTAGTTACTCTCCGAATTTTGGTGGTTTATGGGAGAGCTGTGTCAAAAGTTTCAAACATCAATTTTCTAAAACCATAACAACGAACACACTTCATTTCGAACAATTCTCAACACTCCCTAACAAAATTGAAGCAATCCTAAATTCTAGACCTCTTTGGCCAGTGTCAAACGATCTTTCTGATCCCTCTGCACTAACCCCTGGCCACTTCTTGATTGGTTTTTCAATGACCGAGATTTCAAACACTAACACAGAATGCCCAACCTCGTCGGTTACAAATTAGAAGTTGATTAAAAAATTATATGAAACATTTTGGAAACGTTGGTCGATGGAATTTTTACATCAACAACAAAGGTATAAATGGGTAAGACAAACTAATGTTAAGGTCAATACATTATTGATTTTAAAAGATAAGTTTTTGCCTCCTCTGCTTTGAAGAATGAGCAGAATTATAAAGCTTTACCTAGTCAATGACAACATAACTAGAGTCTCACTACACCGAAAAAAAAGAAGAGTTCATCCAATCGCCCTGGGACCTGACTCAACATCCTAAGGCGGTTGAAAAATTGGACTCTAACCTGTTGTTTGTATCAACAGCATGCTGAAACGGCAATTCAGTACCCTTTGGTCTGTTGGACTAATGCTCGAGGCCGCTAAGCCAACGGCCCAAGGCGGTAATATTTACCGCCTGGGTAAGTGACCCGCTGACGCAATAGCTAGGGTATTGGATTCTATGTCTAACAGGCGGTAAAATCTACCGCCCCTGACTGTTAACCTGGCACTTCTGAGCCATTGCAAAAAAGGCTTTTAATGAAGGGAAAAATTTAATTTTCTATTTGTCTTTCATATTTATGATTATTATTTAATTTGAGAACATCCTTACCTCCTCCAGGCTACTCTACCGGAGATGATTCAATCATCCAGCACCCTTAAAATTCTTTTGTCCGTGGCGGGATTAGAACGCGCATCCTTCGGAGTGCTACCGTGCGCGGCCTTTACTGTTTGAGCTAGCCAGGCTGCCGGTCGGGAGCCTCACTTTTCACACATTATGTAGCCTCTCCTATAGTATCTCACTATCTCAATAGAATTTCCTAGTGATCTTCTTGCGCGCTATAAGATTAGTTTAGCCCATGAAGTATATTTTTCTCTCTTTATGTCTCTCCCTCCTTTTATTTAATTTCAAATTATTAAAAACATATTTTATTTGTATTTTAGCCTGAGAAATTATTTTAAGACAGTAGCAGCAAATTCTTGCGAAGTTTTGTTGGATGACTCAAAAAAAGGAGGAGGAGAAAAAAAAAACAAAGTGAACAAAAAATTTTCATGAGTTTATCAATAATTTTAGGTAATAGTAACACTTGCATTTTTGTTACTCAAAATTGTTCATA